AAAAGCACCCTGGGTGGAAAGTGTGAGTCTTAATGGCATTTTATAAAAGTTGCTCTGATGAATTAGCACATAAAACAAATTAAAACCAGCTTACCGCTTTTTAAATTAGGTGATGGGGCACTGTAACATTTTTCCCAGACATGAAGATCCATTAATATCCAAAGGAGCCAGAAGCCACTGAAATGTATCGGCTGCTTGTTTTCAGGGGCCTGACAAGTCTGAAATCCATGTAATCCTAGAGTGGCAGATTGTCTGAGATAAACAGAACTCGGGAAGAACGTGTTGTGAGCCCCTTCTGCGAGGATACCTATGGCTGAAGGCAGGAGTGGGAAACCTTCCCTCCAGGATTCTTGGGAATTAGAACAGAGCACAGTAGATTGAATATCTGGCCCGGTGAGGACCACCAGAACAGTCTCTACTCCCCTCCCTTACACATGAGGACACAGGCTTGAGAGAAGCGGGGCTTTCAAAGTTCATCTGAAACATTTTCACGGACTGACACTGAGGGTCTACTCTGTGCCCAGTGCTGAACTGGACTCTGAGGTTGGAGAGATATTTTAGATGTTTTTTGTACACAGTCCACAAGACAGCTATTAAGGGCCACAGTCCCAGCAGATTCCCTGAGTCAAGGCCAGCACATTTTTCAGAAAAACAATTATAAGAATAATAGTAACTACCATTTATTGAGCAATCACTAGTGCCAGGCTGCTGTTACAGTACTTTCCATATATTATTTTACTTAATCCTCACCACATCCCTTTGGGGTAGGTGCTGTTATTATGTGCCAGTTTTACAGTTAAGAAAACTTGGAGCCCAGAGAAGCCAAGTAAGTTGCTTAAAATTCACATGGTCAAAAAGTTGCAAACCCAAGCAGTCTCACCCTAGAGCCTGCCTTCTTGGCAGCCACCTGCCAGTTTTCCTGATGGCTTGACATCCATAAAGAGCCTGGTGCTAAATCAGAGGTTCAAAGACCCTTAGGACTAAAAAAAAAAAAAACAAAAAACAAAAAACAAAAAACACTGTGATAGGGACACCTATCAGCTGAGCGTCCAGCTTAGGCTCAGGTCATGGTCTTGCAATTCGAGTCCCAAATCGCTCGATGTTGTCAGTGCAGAGCCCACCCTGGATCCTCTGTCCCCCTGTCACTGCCCCTCCCTCACTTGTGCTCTCTCAAAAATAAATAAAACATTTAAAATTTGTTTTAAAAAATACTGGGACAAGAAGTGATCAGTAAGGGAGCTTTGGGGATTTGGGGGGGAGGGTGGGAGAGGATGGTCAGCCCTGAAGGGAGGATAAAAACTCCTGGTACTGCTAAATTGTGAGCAAGACCAGAGGATAACAGGCTAGAAAACTGAGCCTCACAATGAAATGTCCAAGAACATGGATTTTGGAGCCAGACAGACCATATTTTAGGTGCAGTCTCCACCACATGTGTACATGTGACCTTGGGCAGGTGCCCTACCGTCCTGAGCTTCCTTTCCTCATCTGTAAAATGAGGATACTAATTTTTACCTTCAGGTTGTTATGATGTCAAATAAGACAATGGATACAAAGTGCCAGGGCACCTAATATGAGCATAAGGAGTGGTAGCCATCATGGTTATTATCCTTGCCACCTTGTCACCACCTCTCAGGTTTCGGGGGAAGGGGTCATGGAGAACAAGTTGAAGAGCATTGTAGCAGGACTCTGGGTCAGGAGACCCAAGCTGCAGCCTGAAGTTGCTGACCCTAAGCCATGTATGCTGAGGTTAGTCTATCCTTCATCTGTAAAAAGGGGATAATGCTGTATCCATCATACATTCTTTATCAGAATGGATTGAGTCACAGATGAGGTAGTGTATATGAAAATGATTTGCAATCTATAGAGTGTTGGGGACCCTCAAGAAACTCCCAGGGTCGATGATTCACTGGGAAGGCTCACAGAACTCAGCATAGACATACTCAGGACTATGATTTATTACAGAAAAGGACACAAAGCAAAATCAGCAAAGGGAAAGGAGCTTGGGACAAAATCCAGAGGAAACTGGGCGCAAGCTTCCAAGAGCCTTCTCCCAGTGGAGTCACATGGGACATGCCTAATTCCTCCAGCAACAAATGGTGACAGCAGGTATAAATGTTGTCTACAAGGAAGCTTATTAAAGACTCAAAGTTCGGTGGGGGGGGGGGGGTTGTTTTATTTTTATTATCTTTTTTTATGTTTGTTTATTTTTGAGAGTGAGAGAGAGAGAGAGAGAGAGAGAGTGTGTGTGTGTGTATGTATGTGAGAGAAAGGGGGGGGGGGGCAGAGAGAGAAGAAGACAGAGGATCCAGATCCAAAATGTGCTCTGTGCTGACAGCAGAGTCTGATGCAGGGCTCAAACTCATTAACCGTGAGATCTTGACATGAGCTGAGGTCGGACGCTTAACTGACTGAGCCAACCAGGCGCCCCTCACGGTCCAGGGTTTATATGGGGGACTGGTAATGTAGTCACCTTCTGCCTGGCACATACCACAATTCCAGATTCACAGAAGAAAAACAAATGTTCACCTTAAATGTTGTTTATACACAGTTTAGGCATGGTGAGCCATTCTTAATAGGAAATAGAACCAAAATCTAATTTCCCAGATGTCAGCCATGAGCCACCCTTGTAGGAAGGTCTTTTTAAGGTTAGAAATCTTGGGGTGCCTGGGTGGCTCAGTCGGTTAAGTGTCCAATTTCGGCTGAGGTCATGATCTCACAGTTTGTGAGTTCAAGCCCCATATTGGGCTCTGTGCTGACAGCTCAGAGCCTGGAACCTGCTTCAGATTCTGTGTCTCCCTCTCTCTCTGCCCCTCCCCTGCTCACGCTCTGTCTCTCTCTGTCTCTCAATAATAAATAAACATTAAAAAAAAATTTTTTTAAGGATAGCAGTCTCAAGCTTACTATGTTAACTCAGAGTAGAATCTATACAAAGGATTTTTATGGATATCCACTCAAAGGGGACAGCGAAGAAAATAATAACAGTTGAAACTTGATGATTGTCACTATGTGCCAGGCATTGCTGTGCGTGCTCTATTTCACATGTATTACCTTACGTGACATTCCATCCATGCAACAATTTTATGATGGGGGTACTGTTACCATTGTTGTTGTCATCATAACTGTTATGTATGAGAAATCTGAGGCCTCAGAAAGGTTAAGTAGCTTATGCAGAAAACCAGCTATATAACTGGTAAGAAGCGGTAGAATCAGGAAATGACCGTGACAGTGTGACCCCTGAGTCTATTCTTAACCGCTCTGCTACACGCTGCTACAGTGCACTCACCGTGAGCTGGCTGCCTCATATGTCTTATTAATGCTTATAGCAGCTCTGTCTGAAAGTAGTTATTGGACTAATTTTGCATTACAAAAACCTGTGGCTCATGAGTGTTAATTAATTTATGTCACACCACCCAGCCAGAGAAGTGACAGTGTCAGAAGTGGACCTCTGCCCTCTCTCAACCCCCTTTCACCTGGGTAGAGCTTTGCCAAAGTCTTCAGTAGGGAAGATGCAGATGGTCAAGGTGGAAATGAGTCATTCTGGGAACTTAGACGGAGAAACTCTCCTCCTATTCCATTACTTGGGTACAGAGTTCATGGAAGACAGAGCTGTGTTGCAAGTAATTCAGATTTTTCTACCGTATTTGAGAGTTCTACATGCTGTCTTCAGCTCTTTTTGGTTGCCATGACAGCAGATGTGACATTTCTTTCATGAGGAGAGGGGGGGAAAGAAGAAGAAAGGGAAAGAACCATACTTGGTCCTCAGTGATCTTAGAAAAATCTGTTCCCCAGATCTATCTAATTTTGCTTGCATAGTGGTTATGCTCTAAGGAAATTCTCAGAATGGAATCAAAGGGAAATAAGCAGAGAGGTGGCAAAATCTGCTTCTCCTGAGAAATTGTATGTGTGCAGTGGTGGTTTGTGAGGGCAGGGGGATATGAGAGGAGGTAGGCAATCTAAGACTTGAGACAAACTGTCAGCTACTTAAGGCAACACCTAGCTACTAAGGTCTTGGCGATCATTTCAATTCTATTTGCAATTCCCTTGCCCCACCAATCTATACGTATAAGAGTGTTCAGTTCAGCAAAGGGAACGTGTTCTTTAGTGAGGGAAACGTGGTACATAAAGCAAGAATTACAATTCAGAATGATGAATGCAGTGCTGAAGTAGGCTTAGCCTTCTGTGGAAGCAAAAAGATTTGTCTTATCCATATAATTTTGATCTATCTATATACATACACATAAACATAGGAGTAATTATATTTTTATTGTTGCATTTTGACCACTTATTCATGTTATTTTATTAACCTCTACAACCATTCAATTTGTTTTATGTTTTATTTATGCTTTTGTGGTTTTAATTTGCAGTTTATTTATTAAAAATGTTAATTCCTGTGCAATGAACATACAGGTTATATTAGTTTCAGGTTCACAATATAGGTATGGAACTGCAACCTTTCTACTTCAGTAATGGTCCAGTAGTCCAGTGGGTGGAAGGATCACAGTCACCTATGGGTGGGCACTTAAGTTGTTACCGTTTCTCCCTATTATAAAAGAAAGAGTTCTGTGAACTGATACATACATCTGAGAGGATTTGTTCATAGCACAAAATGTTTCATTCACAAAGATGCCCATGTTTCTCTTCATTATTTCCTTCTTTTTAGTGACTTTTAAATTTCAATTGTAGTGGGAGGGAAAACATCTCAGGTGCTTCCACATCTCCCATTATCACCTTGCCACATATGATGGTCCCCAAGAAAGGAAGCAGTACCCCAGCTTTAGGAGTCTGTAGGCTGTCCCTGCAGCCTCCAAGGAAAAGCAGGAACCAATGTTAACTGGTGACCACAGCAGTGGGAATGTGGACTGCAGTCCTGGGAGTCAGGCCTCGGAGCTGGTATCAAATGGATGATGGATTCTCAGGGCAAGACTTGGTAATCGAAATGATGAATCCGAAATCTGTGCTCCAGAGGTTCTTAACAACGTTCTCTCTTGTCATTTCTACAGAGCCATGTTTGACTATGACAAGAGCAAGGACAGTGGGCTGCCAAGTCAAGGACTTAGTTTTAAGTATGGAGATATTCTCCATGTTATCAACGCCTCAGATGATGAGTGGTGGCAAGCCAGAAGAGTCACACTGGAGGGGGACAGTGAAGAGATGGGGGTCATCCCTAGCAAAAGGAGGTAAGAATTGCCTTTTCTATTTCAGACTGTATGCATTTTAGCTATCCAGGGAGTGGAAATAAGGGAAGATGAAGATAAGACAAACTGTTTATAAAATAACCATTTGAGTGGGATAGTCAGTCTGCAGGGAAATTGTCAGTGGTGACAGGTGACATGAATTAAGTATTCTTGTTCTTTTCATGTTAGGGATTTACAAAAGCTGGTGACTCTGATAAGACATAAAGCAAGAAAAGGGATCTGCTTCAACCACCTCCCTAAAACATTTACCAGCATCCACATGTTCAAGATTATCTTAGCATGTATGCGGATGTAAACACTCAGAGGTGTTATTCCAGAGGTTCAGATTTACCAAATAGCTTTACAGAAAGGTCAGGTGAAAGCCACATAAAGTATGATTTACTAATAAAAGGTCCTAGCTATGTATTACCTTCAACTACTGATGGGGGAAAAATTAAAACCCTTCATGCCAAATTCAGATGCTTGGAATATGAGCTGTGGAACATCTGGGTGAGGCCTAAGACTGGGTTTATCACTTACTGTTTTCCTTACTCCTTTTCCCCACCCACCCCACAACTCCCACTTTCACTCGGATAATCAGTTCTGTATGTCAAGAGCACCATGCCCTTTCTCTTCCAAGCCTTTCTTCCACTATGCTTTTGAAAGGCAGGAATATACTTCAGAACAGCCACCTCTCCCATGTGTCCCAGTAGCTTCCAGTCATCACCACCATGGGGGAATTTCCTTCCCACCAGCGTCCTTTGGGCACAGAATAGTTGCCTGACATTGCTTTGAGAGGACATTCTGAGTTTAAACTATGGCTTGTAGTGTTTTCTCAAAGGTTATATATTCAAAGCATGGACTCTCCGCACTAGTTTATATTCTGTTTCTCCATTTCCGTTTACTTAAAAAAAAAAAAAACTCAAGGCAACACGCATTTTGGTCTGCTTTGATTTAATCCATCAGAGCTGTCTGAGAAGCTGCTCTGTAGAAGAAAGAGCTATCTTCTTGAATATGGCCCCAAGGACGAAAGTGGGGTGTCAAGGAAGGAATAGATTTCAGCTTATTTTAAAGAAATTCTTTTACTAGTCAGCTGTGTAGAGATGGTATGGATTACCTGGGAAGATAGCAAACTAGAACAATAGTTTTCATAACAAGGGAGCATTATAAAAACTTAGATATGGGGCACCTAGGTGGCTCAGCATGATCTCACGACTAATGAGTCTGAGTCTCGCGTCAGCCTCTGTGCTGACAGCTCAGAGCCTGGAGCCTGCTTCAGATTCTGTGTCTCCCTCTCTCTCTGCCCCTCCCCTGCTCACACTCTGTCTCTCTTTCTGTCCCTCAGAAATAAATATTTTAAAATTTTTATATTAAAAAATAGCTTAGATGTGCCTGTTCCCTCCCTCTCTGGCCCTCCCCTCCATGTGTGCCTGTGGGTGCATGCACACACACACACACACACACACACACACACACACACACACACATATTCTAATTCAGTCCATCTGGAGGGGGTCCTGGAAATCTGAATGTGTTTGTAAATCCATCCAGGTGATTCTGGTAATAGAAGTTCTAGCATCGAGGATTCGAGGTTTGGATAGAGTGTTGAACTATATGATTTCTCGGGCCCTTTCCAACCCAGAGGTTCTGTGATTCTAACCAGTCTTGTCAGTAGCCCTTCATTTGTTCAATTACACATCGTTTTCCCCACAAGGAACATTCCCAGTGCTATGCCTCTTGAGGTAATTTTCTACCTGCTGGTGGTCATTCTTAAGTTGGCTTTCTCCCCTAGTTTGGATAAAAACCATCTTAACAACCATACTACAGCTAGCCTGAAAAAGAAGTTTGTCTAGTGACTCTAATGTTGACATGTATTTGCATTCTATCTCATGAATGCTGCAGTACACCCTCCATATGTGTGTACATGTGTGTGCATGTGTGTGTACGTGTGGGTGTGCTTATGGCTATAAGTGAGTTTCTGTCAACTTTCTCCTTAGGATTTTAAATCTTTTTTAAAAATGTTATCATTATTGTTTTATGTGTTTATAAAAGTAACACATTTCATTGTAGAAAAATGGGAAATTTTTGAAAAGTATAAAAAAGAAATAAAAATCACTTATAATCCTACCTCACAAAGAGTTCTTATGCATGGACTTTAAAATCTATCATGAGGGGCACCTGGGTGGTTCAGTCAGTTCAACATCAACTCTTGATTTCAGCTCAGGTCATGATCCCAGGGTCATGGGTTCGAGGCCCATGTCAGGCTCTGGAACCTGCTTGGGATTCATTCTTTCTCTCTCTCTCTCTCTCTCTCTTTCTCTCTCCTTCTCCCTTGCTTGCTCTCTCTCTCTCTCCCTCTAAAATAACACACACACACACACACACACACACACACACAATCTGTCATGAGCCTGTCCTAGGCCTGTTCTTTAATATTTTACTTTTAAATGAGGCTTTCTCATTTCACACTACATTCAGCATCTTACAACAACAGCTCAGAATAAGTGGGAGCTGCTCAAATATGATTTACTATTAGATTGGGGTTCATTTTTCAATCTTTAATTCCTTTATAGTCCCTTTTCTGAGTATAATTCAACTAGTAGAGCTCATCTGGGAAAATCTCTTAATGGGCGACATCAGGGCATGACTTCACCCTTTACAAATATGTTTCTCTAGTGATGATTCCATTTAATCATCCCAATTACACCAAGATGGAGAGTATGATAATTATTGCCTTCCTCCTCCTTTTTTTTGAAGATGATAAAGAAATTTTATTTAACAAAATACTCCAAGAGCATGCTAGGCACTGTTCTAAACCCTTTACAATGAACTTATTTAAACCTCATCATAACCCTATGAGAGATGTTATATTATGATTGTGCCCATTTTACAAACCAGGAGGTTGAGGCATAAAGAAGTTAATTAACTTGCCTGAAATTGTCCAACTAGTAAGTGGCAGAACCGGGATTTGAATCCAGGCTACAGAATTGATACTTTTAACTTATATGTAATCCTTCCTCCCAAAGTTACAAAAATAAAACTCGACAAAATTTAATTCAGCAAATATTGTTTGAGCAGTGTCTGTGTGCCAAGCGCTGTCATTAGGTCACTGTCTCTGGAGCCCAACATTTGTGGGACAACACAGTGTGCCTAGCTACAGTGTGATTAGGTTAATGGGGGCTAGTTTAACTAAAGGTACTTGTCCTAGTCAGCTTGGGCCGCCATAACAAAATATCATAGACTGGAAGGTTTAAACAATAGACATTTATTTCTCACAGTTCTGAAGGCTGGAGAGTCCAAATTTAAGGCACTGGCTGTTTGGGTTCCTGGTGAGGGCCCTCTTCCTTGGGTACAGATGGTCGTTTTGCTGTACCCTCACATGGCTAACAGAGAGATCATTTCTCATGTTTCTACTTATACCGGCACTAACCCCATTCATAAGGGCTCCATCCTCCCCACCTAATTATCTCCCAAAGGCCCCACCTCCAAATACCATCACACTAGGCACCAGGGCTTCAACATATGAATTTTGGGTAAACACACTTAGTCCATAGCAGGGGCAAAGGGATGTGAAAGGACACCAGACAGAGAGATGCATTCCATTGGATGATAGCACCAGCCATGTATTGTGCCAGGTGCTTTCAAATACATAATTTCATTTCATCTTCACAAAAGCCTCGTAAGGAAACCAAGGGTCCAAGAAGTCAGGTAACTTGCCCAAGGATGCACAACTAGCCACTGGCTGAACCCACGTCTCTCTGAAAACAAGACCACATGCCTTTCCACTACACCAAGGGTATATTAGAATGGTCAATTAGGAGGTCTTAATATGTATCAGACACGGTGCTAACCAATTCTCTCATATTACCTCATTTAATGTTCACCGTAATTTTCTGAAGTCTGTGTCAATACTCTAAGTTTACCAGCATGAATCCTAAGATCCTAAGAGGCTGAATGACCTGCCCAAGTCACACAGAGAGTAAGTGGCAAATGCAGTGTTCAAAACCAGGTTTGTGTGACTTTAAAACCTGGACTCTTAGCATAGAATCACTGCTTTCTGAGATTAGGTAGTTTGTGAGTCGCCAAGATAGGATGCATTTCTACAGTCTGCTAATCCCAGTCTTTAGTCATTGCCCCTCAGTGATGACCACCTGGGTTCTCAGATAACAAGCGTGTCGCTAGCATTGCCTTAAGGTTTAGGCACCTAGCTTTCACAGTGAGCCTGTGGCCAGTAACGTGGGTGACATTTCCATCCTTGTAGAGCACAGCACAGGAACACCCAGCACCAAGTGATGTTCCCACCATCCAGGGCTCCAAGCCTGACCTCATTATGTGTTTGGCCAGAACGTGAAAATGCCAGATGGGGAATGGGTGAGAGGGCAGAGGGAGACAGTTGGGCTCATTGAAGCATGACTATTCGGAACTCCCTGGAGAAGCTAGCTGTCAGAATTGATTGTTCAGACTTTGCCATCCAGTTTATATTTTCAGGATTTTGGTCAGTGACCAGACTAGGGTGGAGAGGATTATTTCTGCTTAAACAATCTAATTAATTGCTTGCCTCTTGAGTGTGAGAAAAGTAAGGTAGTACTTCTCATTTCAATTCAGTCTTTTTCTACAAGTGGTCCACCATTTCCTTAGGTAAAGATCTGAGGACTTTAATATCATGTATATCTACCAAAGGAATCTTACTTAGTAACACAATTAAGGAAGGTAATGCTAAACTTTTATAAGGACTCTTGCCAAGTGAAAAAGTCATGCAATGGTAAATAACTTTTTATGAAAAACACCATTTGTGTGGGCAAGTCACCTGACTCTTGAGCCTTAGTTTTCACATCCAAGTCAAGAATGCTCCTTGAGGGTTTATTCATGCTTTCATTCATTCATTCATTCATTTATTCAACAAAGATTTATTAAGCACCTACTATATGCCCAGCTCCTTCTTAGACCCTGGATCATTGTACAGTTATAGATAATATAGGCCAAGTACAACATCGAATACTTTG